GAAAGGAAAGAAGGGAAAGGAAAAAATGCTGAGAAATGGAAAAAATGGAAATAAAGTCTTTGTAAATAGGGAAGGGTCGAGGGTGTGAAGGGAGGGCTAGGAATGGGGAAAAAATAAAACCAGGGTGCATTATATAAAGGTACAATTCCCAATGAGAAATGTAATTGTGTTGTATATCTACAATGTACCAATAAAAGAATTTAATACAAACAAAACAAAACAAAACAAAAAAAACCTCGTATCCTGCTATCAATTAACTTGGTGGTGGTGAGGGGGAAATTCCATTAACAAATGGAATATTTATTCTACTCTGAAGCCGTTGGCCCAGGAGGAAGTACAATCCAAAAAAGAACGCTTTACAGGAAAAGTCACAAAGGTGACATATGCCATGAGGTCAGAGAACAACATAAAGGGAAGGTCTGTTGATACAGCACTGTCCGAGGACCTGAGCTTCCCAGGTCCTTTGTCCAGTGATCCATCTATGCTGCTCAGGCAGCTAAATCCGCACATGTAATCTGATTCTTCGTTTGCTGAAGAACCATCTTTTTGAGCCCCTCCATATTACCAGCTTGGTTAACACAGACAGACTGCAGGCTTTTCAGGGAGTGCTGCTCCTCATATTCCTGGTCCAGATCCCTAGAACACAGCTGCTCCTCAGAATGTCGGGTTGATAAGTTTGCTTTCTGGGTCTCAGATCCCTCATCTAGAAAAGAAGGGTTTAGATTGTGTTTCCATGAAGTAAGGATAGAAAGCACACTATTTATTTCAATACTAGCAAATAGACATCTTTCTTAAAATTTAGATAATCATCAATAATTTACTAATGTGTCTATCTCAAAAGTGAACCCCATAACCAACAGACCAGACACTGCCATCCAAAACTCCAACAGCTGAAATGAAATCACAACCAGGAAATGTAGAGATAATACAGACCATAATTTTTAACCTTATCCTGAAAATTTGAAAAATAACTGTAGACTACTTCTCCAGGAAATGTACTTACTGTGTTCTCTAGATCTCCACAGTGTTAGCTTGTACAAGACCCTAGAGTAGAAGCCCATGCCATAAACAGTCCAATGGTAAGTACTGACTACATCTCTCAGTTTATGAGACAAGGGCAATTATATTTATATGGTAAGTCTTAAGGAAGGAACAAGTCTCATACTTCAGTGGAAATATGATTAAATAGATAAAGGTATTTCTAACTTTCTAAAAGTTCTAACATAAAAGGCTTCTTCCTCCCCTTAAAAAAATTTGCATAACTGAGAAGAGCAATAATTCTTCAGAGTGGATTTTGTGCTGGCAATGGAGAGGATGTTAGGTCTAACCACATGTTTGAGAGTAATTGTCTTGATTTTTGTGTGGAAGCCAAGGTACAACTTGTCCACTTGAACAGAAATGGCTTAAGAGTTTTCCAGCTGAGCTTTTCAGAATGAATCCCCTGAACATCCCATCTGAAGTCGTAGATCACTACAGGGCCTTTCTGTTGTTAACAAGTGAAGTGCTCACTCTTTGGTTATAGAGAGCCTAGTTCTCTATTTGAATTTAAAATGTGCTCATTCCACTTCTTGTATTGCTATCCTACCCATGGTAATTTTCTTTTTGCTCTTACAGACAGACAACACCATCTGGCCTGAGATCACAAGTGCATTTAAATGTGGAGGTCCTCTGCCAAGAGCTCACAGCTAACATAGTAAAATTAGAAAAGGTGACTTGCTTCATCCCTGTGTATGAGGGCACTCATGCTCCTTCCTGTGGATTGCTGTAGCCCAGGGTTGACACACTCAGAACACTTTCTTCAGCAATCTAAATGACCAAACCTGGCTAGCGGAGAGGACATGTGCATCATAAATGTGAAAAAATATTTTTATTTCCATAAAGAAATGGGTTTTAATCTCATTTTTTTTCCTTCATAATACATGGCCCTGGTGGTCTGTCTTTTGTGTTTCCTCCATGATTAGACATATTTCTGTGTACCATAGAGACCAGTGATAAGTAACTCCTGACACCAGGGCTCAGTAGAGGGGCACATTAGAGAGTGACCTGGGGACTAGAGACCCAGCCAAACAGCACAACTCTAATTCCACCCAGGCCAGTTCTTACCATACATAAAACACTGCATTCAGTCCCTGTTACAACCCTGGGAGACAGGTGTCATTCTTTCTATCTGACAGAGAAAGAGCAAAGTCTCAAAGTACTTCCCTAAAGATGACATAGCTAGAAAATTGACTGGACTGGGGAATTGGAAATTGAACCAGGTCTGTTTTACTACAGAGTTGTGCCTAAGAGCCCTCTGCTTGGAGGTCAGAGTATAGATCAAGGCTACAAGATGTGCTTAGTACACAGAGGTCCTGGGTTCAATCTTTAGTACAAAAAGAAAGATGATAGATGATAAAAGATAGATAGATAGACAGACAGACAGATAGATAGATCTACCCATTTTACTGCTTCTCAGAATTCAGCCTTAGGCCTTGTGGATAAGACAAGAAATGTAACTCCTTAAAGTCTCTTCCTAGGGCAAATCTGTTCTTAGCTTGTGGCATTCTTAGAAGGTGATAGGGTGAACAAGGGGAAAAAGATAAGCATGTAAGAAATATCCCAGAATAAAACCTAATTGGGCCAGGGATTTAGCTCAGTGGTGCCATGCCTGCCTTGCAAGCCCAAGGTCCTGAGTTCGATCCCCAGTACCACAGGGGAAAAAAAAATTAAAACTAATTAACAGCCCTTATTTTCTTCTCCTTTCAACATGTCTCTCTTCCCTTCTGATAGCTATTTGTTTTTTACCCTAATCCCAAAGGAAAGGTGTGAACAATCAAGTATTTGACCAGAACTACATCACTTTACATGATAGTATTTGGTAGCTTTACATAGTAGTATTGTTATGAGAAGAAATATGAAACACAAATGAACAAAATTATCTGTGTTGTCCTACACTAAATGTTATCTGGGTATTAATAACTAAGAGCTGACAGCAAAGGTATTTCCAACCTCCTGTTCTAAATTAAGTCACAACAGATAATTCATATTGATCTATGGGCAAACATGGAAACTTTTCTCTTTTAAATCCAAAATCAATCTAAACAAGGTATGGGTTAGCTACTAAAAAAATGTTTTTCTTTCTAAAACATTAGGCTTTGAGAATTGAAGTTTTTTTTTTAGAAGAACTAATGTTGGCTTTCATTCTGACCTAAAGAACAGGTGCCATAGTTTTCAGACTGTTCGCTCTGACGTGCAAATGCTATTCTGTGGATAAGAAACACACAGAATCTTACTTCCTTCTCCTGTATTTCTTCCCACTATTCTGCCAGGCCTGGCCAAACACAGCAGGACTTGTTTACAACAGACCAAGCCCAGCTGGACATCCGGGGGACCTTCAGTGATACCAATGGGGAAAACCTTCATCCTAAAGCAGAATCAGTAAAAACTGGTTTGGGGTCCAATTGTACAGGTTTATACACACATTTCTCAAAGGAATCTAAGTATTGAAGAGTTACCAGGTTACACTCCCGCTCTTTGATTAGTCTGCCCCTTCCATAGAGGCAATCAGCAATTACACAACACTGCTTGGGTGTAAAATAGCAGCTACATGCTGGGGAAAAGTCTGAGGCACAAGTTGGCTTTTTTTACATGATATCAGCAATTCTTTCTATTTTCCTTCAGGGCCTGGTCGTGATCTGTTCCTGGTTATAACTCCCGTTTCTGTCTATGGTATCACTTCCCTGACAGTAATACCATTGGAAGTCTAAAAACAATTTTTGCCTCCTTCCCATTTCACTAACTGATTGACTAATTTGTTGGCAAAATTCTATGATGTCTAACCTCAAATGTCTGCTGAAATTCTTTTACCCTTGACAATCCCCAGGTCCATTCAGGGCCCTGATTACCAGTTTGTAATATGAAATTCAATATCAGTATGAATTTTCTTTGGATTTTTCTAATTGTTACTGAAATTAAAATCTTATATTTGTTGGCCCTTTGGGTTTTCTTCTGTAAATCCCCTGTTTACATTCTTTGTTTGACTTTAGGGTGTTTTGGTCTTTTTAATTGTCTTTGAGTATCAGTCTCTTGTTTTTTGAGTATCAGTCTCTTGTTTCTTTTCCTTTCCTACCTTCACAGACCTGTTTTTGCTCTTACCATCTGTCCTGAGGTATAGTCAAGGAAGCTGTGAAGCAAGAATAGGGGAAGGGGGAGTGCTTGTTGTGAATAAAGAAGGAAATAATTGTTTTCTAAGTCCTGGAAGTCATATTAATGGTGGGGTGGAATAGGAGAAAGAGCATACATTCTAGAGTCAGACTTCTTATTCCTACTCTGCCACTTCCTACCTGTGTAACTCCTCATGTGAGGTAGCCTCTCTAGCCCTCAGTTTCATGTATAGAACCTGCCTGTGGGTGGTGTGTGGTTAAGGTGAGCATCCTGGCACACACATATTAGAGCCCCTTCTCTTTGCTTACCATGAGTGTGCCTGCAGGACATCACAGCTCTTCCGTTACATAAGATATCTTGGGCCATTTTCTGTTGCTACAATTGAACCACAGTCTGAGTAATTGATAAAGAGTGAAATTTTGATTAGCTTGCAGTTCTAGAGGCTGGAAGGTCCAGGATTGAGGGGCCATGTCTAGTAAAGGCCTACTGGCTGGTGAGGACTGCAGAGTTCTGAGACAGCATAAGGCCTCACGTGATGAGGCAGAGCCAGATTGCTGGCATGGGTGTCTCTTCCCTTCTTATAAAAGCACAAGTGAACCATGGGTGAAGGCCTCACCTCAAAATGCCATTAACATATGATAGCATTAAGTTTCAGCGTGAACTGATCACAGCAGAATATATTTTTTCCTTTGATTCATGGGGTTCTCTACTCCCATCGTAATATTGGTTGTTAGGATATCCTTGTTCTGAATTCTTTACAACTCATTTTTTCAGCAGCCATTTACTGAGAGGATTTTTAATGCCCAGCACTGGACTGTAGTCTTCAGGTCCAAACATGTGACATGGTTGATAATCATGGATGGTAATCATCATGATGCAGCATATTTCAAGCTGAAACCATCAAGTGGGTTCTGTAAAAGTCCAATTTCCTGTTGTCTCTGAATGTATATGGGTCACACCTGGTGCTGCCATTGCTTGTTCTTTCTCTCCTCATTGCTCTGTCTTTATTGACATTTTCATCTTTGTCCCACCCCTTTTTTATTTCTATCTTTTTTTCATTTTGAAGTAGATTGTTAGACTTCTAGTCCTTGAAAAAGTATGTTTGCCTGATTTAAGCTTAACCATTGTGTAGCTTTTTATTCAAGAGAGGTTAATCTCAAGCATTATACAGGCTGCCGCAGATATGCCTTAAGATATGCCATTGTTTCCTAACAGAAGCTTCTCTTTCATTATTTCAAGATACAAAACAACTTACAGAAGCTGCTAGAGAATAATGACTGACAGCCAGATTGCTGGCGTCAACTAATACCTCACGTTTTTTGGAAGAAGGTGCTCCTGAGGCATCCTGGTGAGCGCCCCCTGCTGGTCAGAGGTGCGAGTGGATGAGAACCCAGACACGGAGGTCTCCAGCTCAGGAAAAGGGGAAGGGGAATCACTTTGCTTCTTGTGCAATAAAAGTTGATCTGTCTCTCTGAGGAAGTTTCTGCTGCTGGCGTCTGAAGAAAACAGAACCATCTCTAGATGTCTCAGAGAGGGCCTGGCGAACACTCTGGAATGATTATGGTTCAGCGGTGTCTGTGATTGATTGTGTCGGTAAACACTCCACTCCAGGCCTGTTTAGTCCTTCCCACCCTGTTTTTCACTCATTTACATCCTTCTTACAAAACACTGAAACTAAGGGATACATCATATACCCATGATCTGCATGTGATCCTTTAAAGAATCAGCCATAAGTCTCCAAAATGGCAATAAATGCCTCTCAATAGACAGGCTTGCTGCACACAAATAACATTCTGTTCTTTCTTTCAGCTTTTATCTTCTGTTTAAGTCATCTGCCTATATATCTTAACCTCTCTGTTCAGTTTGAGTAAGAATGTCAAGCAAAGTGGGTTAAACTATCCCATTTATGTTTGGTTTGGTTTTGTTCCTGTGATTAATACATAATTGGAGAGATTCTCACCCACCTCAGGTCAAGAATCTGTGAGGCATAAGACTGAAATACTAAATTAAACTTACTTTGAAACCAAAACTAATCTTTAAGCCAAAATTTGTAATAGTGATTTAATAAAGGATGAAGAACACCGAATTTTTAAGATTGTAGGTGGACCATGTGAGCCATTTTGAAACAGGAAATCTGTATTGGATGCTGCAAGTTATTTCAGCATGACAGTTGTATGCCTTTCTCCTTTGCGGACTAAAATAAATAATTGGTGGTTTGCTAACTTTATTCACTGTATGATTTGACTGGGTTTTGTTAATAATTATTTAGGGTACCATAAGATCTGTAAGTATAAAATATATTCTATTTCTATCTGTAATGCATTTTATAATCATTTCTATGAAATGTATTTTGTTTAATCAGATAAGCTAATAAGTGAATTGGTTACATCATTTGTATTTGTTAGCCTACTGGACAACTGTGCCTGGTGCACCACTGGCTTTTAGTAAATACTCAATGGTTAAAATACTCTGCAGCACTGTGTTTAGTCAGTTTGTAAATCTTTTAACTATGATTTACTGTGCTTTTTAATGCCTTCCCCACCTCCACTCCACTACTTCCAACTTCATACTTTTTCTTCCCAAATATTTATTTCAAAACTCAAAAATGATTTAAGATCTTGGGTTACAGTGGTATCAGGAAAAGAAAATGAACTTTGTAATCAGAAAACCAATGCTTGATTCCTAGGTTTAATTCCACATTTAATGAGTTATGGGACCCCAGGCAAGTCCTTTGGCCATTTACCCCCCATTTTATTGATAAAGCCAAGGCTGAAAGTACCAATGAAAAATATTATGAGTATTACATATGACAATGCAACTAAAGCACATAGTTTGTTAGACATAACAGGTACCATACTTGTTATTTTTTAAAAATACTTTTATGAAAAAAAAATACCTTTATATCTGTCCAGTTTTATAAAAGTTCAATATATGAGTGCTTTATATTCAAGGAATCAGAGTGAGTTGGCTGCCTATGGAGAATAATTTAGTAATTGTGTGGAAAGCCTTAAAAAGTTCAATTTTCACAGTTGATGATCTGCCAGCTAGGAATTTATCCTAAAGCAATAATCAGAGATGGAGTCAAAGTTTTATATATAAGAACATTCTCTGAAGCCTTATCCAATAGCAGAACAGTTAAATGATGTTGCTATTTAGAACTGGACTGTCAAATAAAATCATCAAAAATAAAACAGGAAATCACATTGAAAGAGTACAAAGTTGTGGTATGATCCAGTTTTATGAAGAGAACCCTACATACGTGTGTGTGTAAACACATACACATGGACTCATACACACACACACCTTTTCTGTATCCTATGGATGTTGTATAGTGAGCAGTTATCTTTTTTTTTTTGAAACTAAATACATTTTAATAGAAAACAAAACACAAAATAACTTTTCGGAAAACAAATATTTAATCCTTTCCCCATACATTAGAACTTGCTTTACCCTCAGGGCACAGTTTGACATGTGCATGCGCACTCAGGATTCACGTCATGATGCGCTCACTGCAGGAGAGAGAGTGGAAATGCTAACCTCTGGTTAACACTCTGAAATCTATTACTAATTCTATCTTATGACTTCAAATAATTCTTTTTTTTTCTTTTATTTGGTACTGGGAATTGAACTCAGAGACTTGCGCTTGTTAGGCAGATGCTGTGCCACTGAGCTACATTCCCAGCCCTCCAAATTATTAACCATAATCTTTTTTTTTT